ACACAATCCTAGTAATTATTGCTGACCTCATACTTTCAAAACACCATAACCATCATATATTCTAATCCTTCTCCTTTCATCTGCACTTTATTCCAATCCAATAAAGGTGAAAACCTTAGTAATAGTGATGCTACTGCTAACCAGGAAATTTCACCATCCGGTTTACTACTACCACTGAAATCCTCATTGCTATCAGACGAGTGAGTAATACAGCTCTAAAATCCCATTTTCATGATCTACTTTCTAAAAACATTTCTATTATCAACTATCTTGCCCTGATATCTGCAGAAAACAAGGTCTAAGGCAAAAGCGTGTGTATTACTATCTTTTTAGATGCATTCCAGGGCATAGGAATGAAGGAAAGATGGGAGTGAGGAAGAGAAAAAAGCCAATACAAGGATAGGTTACCATGCTGGCCACACTTAACATGTAGTATGACTATTTGCTCATCCTTGTAACACCATTTTTCAAGAAGCTACATAATGAGTGTATATAAGGGTCTTTTATCCTGGATAGGGAAGGTAAAGAATTTATCCAATCTCTCTTGTCTTCCATTGGACAAAGTTACACCCCATGGGAAATTAACTCCCTTGCACACTTGGGTTGCATAAATGAGGGGACCAAGAAGACACTAGTGCACCTCATACCTCAGCATCAACATGAAAGCTTGGGACAGGTGGCAAGAGGTACATTGCAAGGATATGAAGCAAGATATCGTGAGTTGTGACTGCAAGATGTTGACTAGTGTCCATGCAGAGTGGTAGTTGGTCTTAAACAAATGGCCAAATATCCAGAGACAGATAAAGCCACAAAATATGATGTGACACTTACAAATTTAAACTTTTGTTTAATTTTGACTGTTTTTGGAAGGAGAGCATAATGAAATTTGTTTTATAGTTAGTTCTGATGCCATTTGCCTGTTGATATAAAAATCATTTATGCTAACTGTAATAACTGAATTTACATTAACTTCTTATTGAGTTATTTACTTTGTAGTATTTTGCTCTTTTCTTTCTGTTCAGTAATTTGTACTATGCACTATGCTTTGTTTGCTATTTTATTTAGTAGTATTCTTACAAGAATGAAGAATTTTAAAATTTGGCTCTGGACTTCTAAGTATTCTTTAATAAAGTTCTTGATCATATGATTTTTTTTTTTTTTTTGTCTTTTGTCTTTTTTTTCCGTGTCTGGCAACGGATCGCAACCCTCAGTGTTGCCCCCGTACCAGACCAGGGACCGGCAACAGGATTGCAAACCTCGGTGTTGCTCCCGCACCTCGCTCAGCCAGTGAGCGGGAGCCGGTCTGTATGTAGGATCCGAACCCTGGGGCGGGAGCGCTGCCGCGCTTCCCAAGCGGGGCACTATCCAGTGCGCCACCGGGCCGGCCCAATCATATGATTTTTTAGCTTCAAGTGTAACAAGGAAAGTTAACTTTTAACCTCCATATTATGTAAAACAAGAAATTTAATGTGCTTTTACTGACACATCCCTACACTTACAGATCTTCCTTAATTTAATACAGGGTATAGATCATAGGTTATAGGTATAGATTATTATTGTTTGATTGCTTTTTAATAATTAAATATCTTCTTTTCCAACTGATATTTCTTATTTTATTATATATTTATATTTATTATATTTTATTTATATTTATATTATATTTATATGTATTTATTATATTCCTATATTTATTATATTTATATTATGTTTATTATATATACTTATGTATATTATATTTATTATATTATTATTTATTATTTATTATATTACATTTATTATATTGTATTAAGTTATATTAACATCTGTATAAAAATTAATTGGATTCACTCATATCAAGGCTCACCATAAGAACATTTATTCCAAATTATTAAATTTTTGTTTCTCCATTTCAATGACATTTTGACTCCCTGGATTATGTGTTTCAGTAAACTTTGCAGGGGTTCTAAGCCAGTGCCATAATTTATGAACTCTTGCATATCGGAAAATAAAAATAATTCAGTTGCCACCTGCTCCCCAGACTTGTCACCCTGCAGAAAAGGAAAAAAAATGTACCTGTTGGCTATTTGTATGTCTTCCTTTGAAAAATATCTATTCAGCTCCCTTGCCCATTTTTTAATTGGGTTATTTGTTTTTTTACTATATAGTTGTTTGAGTTCCTTGTATAATATGGATATTAATCCCTTGTCAGATGCATAGTTAGCAAAAATTTTCTCTCACTCTGTAGGCTGTCGTTTCACTCTGTTGATTGTTTCCTTTGCTGTGCAGAAGCTTTATAGTTTGATATAGTCCCATTTGTTTATTTTTTCCCTTGCTGCTTGTGCTTTTGGGCTCCTGTTCATAAAGTCTCAATATCACTAGTCATCAGGGAAATGCAAATTAAAACTACATTGAGATACTACCTCACCCCAGTTAGACTGACAATAATCAAAAAAGATGTTGAATAACAGATGCTGGTGAGGGTGTGGAGAGAAGGGAACACTCCTACACTGTTGGTGGGACTGTAAATTAGTACAACCACTATGGAAAACAGTATGGAGGTTTCCCAAACAACTACAGATAGATCTTCTATATGATCCAGCAATCCCACTTCTGGGGAATCCTCAGAAGGAATGGAAATCACCATGTTGAAGGAATACCTGCACTCCCATGTTTATTGCAGCTCTGTTTACAATAGCCAAGACATGGAACCAACCTAAATGTCTATTGATGGATGATTGGATAAGGAAACTGTGGTATATATACACCATAGAATACTACTCTGTCATAAAAAAGAATGAAATACTACCATTTGAAACAACATGGATGAATCTGGAGAAACTTATATTGAGTAAAATAAACAAAGCACAGAGGGATAAATACCCCATGCGCTCACCTATATGTGGGAGCTAAGAGAGAAAGAAGGAAGGAAAGAAAGACCACAGTGGTGCTTTGCACCTGCAGAGGGGGAGAGCATACCTAGGGATACAAAGTGGAGTGGGGGGGTAATGGAAGGGGGAAGGAGGTTGGGGATAATTGGGTGGTTGACACAGGGTACAAATGCAATTTGTGGAAATGGGTATACATCTAGTATGAATCTGGCCCCACATCATGGGCATGAGGCGTGACAATCAGCTTTGTATCTCATGAATATTCATAACCAATAAAAAAAAAAAGAAAATGAAAGAAAAAAGAAAAGTAAAGCTTCTATAAACACCTCTCCATTACCTTTTACTATTGGTGTTACAAAGGTTTAATTTTAAAGCCATCCTGGAACTTACTTTAGATTTCTTGTATTTTTCTTGACTCTAGGTAACCTACATATTTTGGGGCCCAGACTTTAGTACGATATTTTCTTTATCCTTAATAATTCAAAAAGTTTATAAGGATGTATGTGTTACTAATATTTTTAATCAGATCACCTGCTTCAGTTCTGGATATTTTAAAATAACTTACTGTGAACCTTAGACTACAATCATTTCAAGAAGTAATTTAGGGTAATTCTCCTTCTCCTGAGATAAAGAATTTATTCCACACACCATGGTTGGTTTGTATTTGTTTTCTTTATTCAAGGTAGGTGTTGTTTATTTGCTTGTTCATTGTTTTGTGTGTTCATCCTTGAACAAAAACTGCTCAATCCTATCTTGTAGACCTGGTTAGCTTGTTAAAAAAGGACATAGGTTTCTGTAGGTGTCTGTCACTGTCTACTTAAGCACTGACTAAAGCCTCCTTGTATTCTTAAAGTAGAAGGAAAATTCATGTACATAGATTTCAGAGCAATTTCTACCTTTTAACAGGCTTTCCTGTAGAAGGAAGGGATCTTAATCTATTGCCAGGTTCTCTGTCTTCTAATATGAGAATGTATTTCTGGATTATTCAAGCTATCTTAATTAAAACATTTTTCCCCTGAAGCCATATTTGATAATCTAGTACACCTCCTAAGCATTGCTCAGAAGCACAGTCCTTGCTTATAGCTGACACCGCATTGTAAGTTCCCATGCACCACCTTCTCCCCAACCCCTCTATTCATATAGTTTTACTGGGAATTGAATTTTCTGAGTGTCTGATGGCTACAGGTACAAAGAAGGTAGTAAAATCGAAGAAGGCAATGTCCCTATTTACCACTAAAAGTAAATTATATTTTGGGAAATGGATGACTGTTCAAATTTGTGGCTGGCAAAATCCCTGCATCACTGTACTAAGGATGGGTAGTGGGTGTGAAATGCAGCCTCACTCAGCCTTCTTCCTCTCAGTCACTGCTCACATCTGAGGGGCAAAGTGTGTAAGGTCTCTGATTGTTTCTTAGGCCAGCCTGTTTCCTTGGAAACAGCTCCCAGACTCTGAGAAATCATTGTTTTCCTTCCTTTCAAATACTGTTTTGGCTTACTAACTTTTCATCTTTCTTCACTTTAATAGGAGGTTGACAGAGGGTATTTCAGAGGTGGCTTATGTGATATTTAGAGTGAATTTTTTATACTCAGAGCAAATAGCATCTGCATCAATAATGACTGAACAAAGAAATGTCACTTTAGGGCTTAAGTTGCTAATCTGTGAAATGGTTATATTAGTTTTCCCCACAACTTAAAGATCCCTGCTTATTAATTGTTTTCAATACTCAGAGTTGCTAAGTGACAGCCAGAGTGAAGGACATTGCTTGGCACTATAAAGGAATATCTCTTTGTTAAGATATTTTACCATCACGTAAAGTAAGTGAGTCAGAATTCACACACACACAAACGCACACACACCGCCCATACACATACAATATCCAACCTCTAATGACAACACGTTTAAGATAAATAAATCATTAAATCATTTTTCATTAGATATATTAGGATCTTTCCCTAAGGAAATCGAATTTGAAAGGAGAAATTTAAAGCAGGAGTTGAAGATAACTTGAATTGAGTGCTCCAGAATATTACGGTCCCTTCAGGCTCCTTGAGCGCACATGCATGCATACACCCACACACACACTGAGAAAATAACAGGATTCATTTGCATTATTCATAAAATTTGAACATTCAAATGTATTTAACAGTTTGGTAATTAAAGATGCATAAAAGATCGATTTTGAAATTACAATGAAATAACCAACTCTGATCTTTTTCTAAGATTGTATTGATTATGTTAGGTCTCTGTGAGTCAGATTGGTCCTTCAAAATAGATACTCTTACCAATTTAATGGATATTGTATGAATTGTGATGCATTTATGTGCATGAAATAGAAATCCATTTCTGCGGCTTAACCTAATAATAGCATCTTATTTTCATAACAAGAAGTGCGAAGGTAGGGAGTCTAGGTCCCTCACGTCATTTTGCTCCATCATCCTTATAGGGAAGCTTTTATCTTCATTCTTGTCTTATCATGGCTGCAAAATAGCTTCTCCTTCTCCTTAGCTGTGCTATATAGGCTAGAGAAAGAGAAAAAGGCAAAAGTGGTATCTGTATTAGAAAAACAAAACCATTCCCAGAAATTCCTAATGGGTTTTTACCTAAATCTCACTGCCTACACTTATGTTACATGGCCAGCACTGATATCAAGGGAGTTTGAAAGGGTTGAATATTTTATCTAGAAACATTGCCATTTTGAGCAAAAAGGAGTTCTATCAGCAAGGAAGAAGTGAAAAATAGCTTTTGGGTAAGAAATTTATGACTGTAGCATTCTGAGTTCAATTAGGACTCATTGAACTCAGAAGGCTATATAATCACAACCAGTACTTGTAGGCGGCCTACATTTTCAGGGTAGTGCTGAATGTCAATACCTATTCATTTTTGCTATGTTTGATATTTTTTCATGGATAGTCATTGTAACAAATGTCCTTGTACTTTATTTTTTGCATCCTACAAGTGACAATGAGGTCATTGTAGGGCATCAATAACTTTTGTATACTAGAATATTCTTTCTTCACACATCTCACTAAATGGTGGCTTTATAGTCCATGCTGTGACCAATACTAATCTCCTTTGGATAACACATATTTTAAGTCATAGGACCTATACCCCAAATCTAAAGATTTCCTCAGTTAACTACCAATATCAGTTTCAAATAACATTATTTTAATGCCCATATAATCATAGAAGATCAGTCTTTAAGCTAACCGTGAGACATTTAAGAAACTCTGTTGTATTTTGTATATCTCTGTTGCCCTTAGTGTCTAAAATTCAGTATTTAATGACTAGTTTTTAAGGTTGTAAAATTGTCTTCTCTGAAGAAATATATCTCTGCACTTTTAAAAGTAATACATTTCTTAATTATATTCTATCTTTAACTAAAATGCAAATTTTAAGTTCTCTGCATTTCTCAAAATCAGTCTTCAATGTTGATAATCAAGATGGACAGGTTTTTCAATGACATTTAGGTGGCAGGAAAGGAGGGAGTGCAGATAGGATATTTGTTCTAATGTTCTGTCTAAATGGTACTCAGATGTGAACATAGTACATTTTTCTGAATGCAAATCTAATACTAATTCATATCTAATGTAATTTGATATTACAGATTTACATCTAATTTCAAATCCTCTGTGAATTCAATTAGAATTAATTCTACCTCATCTTACACATCTTATTGAATACATTTTTCAAATCTAATTCTGCTCCTTTTGATTCGAGATGATTTGTGTTTTATAAACATTTACATAAAGCATGATAGTGTATTGAATATATCATGTGACACATGGGGTTTAGATAAAATTAGGTTTTCTCCAATTATATAAAATCTTGGAGATAAAGACTTTACCCTTATTTGCTTGCAGCTAAAGCATTTAGAAAGAAAGAATATATAGAAACGCAATCAAGAGAATAACCAAACAGGAATTTTAAAAACAAAAATACTCTGCAAAAGACAATGTACTCCATGAGATATATGCATATATACAGGTAAACACATATTTTTAGAAATGTGAAATGTGGATATATAAATATATGATGGTATTCTGAACATGCAGAATTGGCAAAATAAAAATCACTAAGTAACTTTGTTTCCTTTCATAATGCCCTTTGAAATCTGCTCTTTTGGATTATTCTTCTCCTCCCCCTGGATAAAATCTTAGTTGATCTCTCATAGCTATCTTAAATAATAAAAAGCCTCCTGGTACTTTAGTCACTTAAACTGTTTCATTTTTGAAAGTGATAGGGGTAGCCAGAGCAAAAATAAAAACTCCAAGTTTCATTCAAAATTAAAGCTTCTGCATTTGCCTAATCAGACATGCTACAGAAGATAGGCCTGCTGTACAAAAGTAGGGCCTGGATAGATACTCCTCTATTTTCCCAACTTATCTTTTTTCCTCTTCTCATTTGTTAAACTTTTTTTTTTTTTTTTTTTTTTTTTTTTTCACCCCCGGGGGGGCAAAATTAAAGCTTCTGCATTTGCCTAATCAGACATGCTACAGAAGATAGGCCTGCTGTACAAAAGTAGGGCCTGGATAGATACTCCTCTATTTTCCCAACTTATCTTTTTTCCTCTTCTCATTTGTTAAACTTTTTTTTTTTTTTTTTTTTTTTTTATCACACCAGGGTGGAGGCAGGAGGTATGAAGGCTCAACAAATCCCTACATGCTGATACTTTTGAGAGCTGCTGTCTGTCATGTCTGCGTTTGGCAGATGTGAAAGCTGACTTGTGGTCTTTTCTTTGCAGAGTATTTCGGTTCATTGCAGGGTTCATAAGATCATTCACTCCTCTCCCAATTCGTTGCTAGAGATCCCTCGCCTGCACTTCACTGACAGTGATTTGGGTCTCAGCAATTTATCTATCACTCCATAGACACTCCCTGTTGGGATTCTACCACCTTTTAGGCAGCTTTTTGGGTAAAAGTCCATTTAAGTTGACACTAAGTTGACACTAAGCCAGACCCACGCAGGTGTGCTCTACACCTTTTCCATGTAGTTTTTTGGTCCAGCTTCAATTATAATTTAAGTTACTTTTCAAAACAAAGCTCTTTGTGCTACTGTTGTTACTGCTATTCAAAATAAAGTTAAAAGCATCATAGAGTCATAGCTTTTTAAAAAAATTTTTTGCAATCATGGAAACAAAACTTTAAAAGAACCTACCATGTCTAGTGGACACATTTATTGATGTTAAAAACATTGGGACCACTACAATAGGCCAATATCCTTCTTTTACAGAAGAAAACGCAAAACTCAATTTAGCGAAAGTCGTTGCCAGCCAGGGACAGAGCAAAGCCTTATGTGATGCACTCAAAAGAGCTTGCAGTCTGGAGTCAAACATAAGTGGGTTTGAGTCCTTTCTCCATAATGTATTAGTTATAAGAATTTGGCCAAGTTTAACAAGATGTGTAATCTCAGCTTCTTCTATAAAATGCAATGCACTTGGGATATGTCTAATAGTAACTCCTCAATAATTGTTATTTACTTTTTCCTTTTAACCCTGGTCAAATTATTATTTTTTTTCTATAGCTTTAGCTTTTTTTGATATTTATTTTCTGTTTCATTATTTCTGGAGTTATAAATACCATATATGAAAATATACATATATGTACACATAAATTACATTTTTTCAGGTTATTATATTATTAATATGCAATAGTTAGTAACTGTACAAATAATTCAGTATTAAAACTTGAATTGTTTTTGTTATGCTATAAAATACAAACTTTAAACTATTAAATAAAGCTTTATTTTTCCAGACAAAACAAGTAAATCAGTAAAAATAAGCCCCTACTTCTATTGAATTTATCTTTGGTATTAGAAAACCCAGTAGAGAAACTCTGGCTTTTAATGTAATAGGGGAGAGAGAGATCATTAGAGAAAAGTCCTCCATGTCCAAAGACATGCTGGAAGAAAACAATGAGAATTTGGCAACATAGTCACAGAGTTTTTTATGTTGTAAAACTTGATTACTTAGATATTCACAAATGCTCATCATTTTTTTAAACAAGTTATTCATGCTGGCAGCCAAGTAACAGTCAAGCTACTTGCTCAGTGAAGTCACTAGCTCAGCATCTGTAGCTACCACATTCATCCAAAGGGAGGACACCACAAACATAGTGTCACTACTTCCTTCTTTGTTTATGCTCTCCCATATGTATGCATTTATTTCCAGATTCTGGGTATAATGAATGTTTAATTTGATTTGTCCATGTGGGTAGAAGTGTTGAGGAGAATTATATGAACTTTTGTCACCTGATCTTATTCTTCTACTTCAGCACAGATTCAAAACAGCACTGCAAAGTTCTACTACAAAATATCTAACTCATAGCTCTAGATAAGATCTCCCTCCAATATCTATGAATCAGAGATACATTATATTTAACTACTTATATTTATATTTATTTAATAAATCTTATTTAGGATTACTCCTTTCAAGATCACTATTATTACTTTCTAAGGCTGTTTTTGTAGACAGCAAATATTTCTCTTCAAAAATGTTAATAATTCGTTCATAATAAACCAACATTTTAAGTTATCTTGTGAAAAATAAAAAGAATTGTGTTGTTAATTGGAAGTATTAGTATAAACTTGTGGTTTTTAGTATTTTTCAATGTATTTAATATATTACATATAAATACATTTGATTAGTTCTGTCTACTGGGAGGGCCTAGAAGCAATGGCCCACCAATAACAATGCACAATCCAAATTATGAACACAAAATTAGGCCTGTTCTAGCTACTAGGAATATAGCAGAGAACAGAACAGGGAAAGTGCCTGCTCCCAGAAAGCTTCCATTTTCTGGGGAGAAGATGGAAGATAAGCAATGAAAAGAACGAATGTATGCAGGTGATTTTAAGTCATAGTCAGTGTCCTTAAGGAACATAGGAGAGAGAATAGACTGGTGGAAGAGGGGACGGAAGGGGTCTATATTAAATAAAGGGGTTGGAGAAGGTCTCTATGAACTCCATTTGAGACCTACAGGAGGAGAACTCAGATGTGTGAGGATGTGAGGGAAGAACAGTCCAGGCACAGGAAAGAGCAAATGAGAAAAATATGTTGAATTGTTTGAGGGTCAGAAACAGATAGAACTGGAATAGAGTGAGCACAGGTAATTCAATGCCTATTCAGTTCTCATTATCTTGAATTTTCCATTTTTTATCATAAAAATCCCTTCAAAGGTGTCTTTCACAGAAAATCTTTACTATCCATGTGTAGATAAGTAGATATGAGAGAAGAGTTGAAGAAATTGTGTAAACATGAGTGACTCTGTGGTAAGAGGAAGAAGTAGAAGAATGAAGAGAGAAAGAAGAAATTATCTTTAATTCTTTTATTCTTTTCTTCACTCGATCTTCTTGGCAAAGTTCACTGTGACAGTAACTATGGCATTTCACTTATATGACTTTGTAGAATTAGAAGCCACCAGAGAGACTTTTCTAAGTGGACTTCCTGAATGTCCTCACTTGACACATTATCTCAGTGGGTCTGACTCTGGCAACAGACCAGTGGAAAAATCTCTTCGGAACC